CCCGCGCTTACACGGAGACAGACGCCGACACGCATCCATGCCTCGAGTGGGATTCGAACCATGACCCCACTGTGGCGTACGTGTGTGTACAGAAACACAGGAAACCACCAAACTTCGTAAGACTGTTAATGAAGTTATTTAGAGCGAAAATGTTTGCTCTGAAACTAAACGCAGTCACGAGGTCAACTGCTGTTACATCACACCAGTAAGTGGGAGGGGGTAACATTAAGATGCATCTTAGTGAGACAGGATCAAAGGCGGAGGAAACTTTCTGAGGACTGTGTCCAATGGCAAATTTTCGTGTTGTGGTTTTGAACTTTCGAGTTCTGCTAGTCCAGCGTTAATACGACATTGAAGCGGGCTTTTAAGATCTTAAGCAGCCTTAAGTCGCATCTGGCGAAAACGGACGTTCGACTCTGACTACCTCAAAAGACGCGCTTTGTCTGCGAGACACTTCCTACTTCAGAGGCGCTAACGGGATGGCGGATTCTACAGCTGCACAGCATTCACGTGACAAACGCGGAACTGAACGAGCGGGTTGAAAAGAATCTTGATGCTGGAGTTCCTATGAAGACGATCACATTTGATCATGCAGTTGGCATGAAGGAACACGAGAAAAACGCTTTGTGCAACTGTACGACGCGAAGAGCCAGTGTAAATCATACCGGAGACACGGAGAAGGTCTCGGCCACCGAAGAAGATTCTTCCGCAGTCCTCTCTTCACATTGCTTCTGAAGTTTCGTATCTATTAAAAATATCGACTCGCACACTGATTACGTAAAGGCCAACATTATTTCCTTGCCTTTTAATTAACTAGGTTTCTTATTAGGTCAGAATCAAATGTTTTCGGATAGGCCTTAAGCCATCCTTTCACAGCTTTTTCCATTTCAGATACGTCACTTTACCAACGACGAACCTTTATGTTGTCCTGAACACACTGATAAGCGGATTTATTCCTTGACCTCAACACGTGTTACAGTCTATGACAGCTCGTAACGCGCATCGGAATTTATTCAGTCGTGAAGATGGAGGCTGTGTGTTCCACCGAAACGTTGGTATCTACCAATCACATATCGTTACAACCCACAAGACCAACATCGACAGTGTGCAAGAATGTTTAAAGTCCGACGTCATGAAATTACAGCGATTCTCGTATTGCCATAAACGTACACCCAGCCAAGTTCAAGTCCCCTTGCAAGTAGTTTGAACTGCAGCGTCCTGCCATATCGACTGAGTATAATTCGTCTTTCATCCTACACTGAAACATGCACGTCGTGATATGACGCCACAAAACAAGTACACAGCATCAGACAAGTAAAAATCGCAAAGCGAGCGGATAACAAAAACAAAGTTTTACTAAGTTTTGTCTAGAATTGTCAGCGTTCATGCTTCTATTGGACTGCCTGTTGGTGAAGGCAAAGGACATACCACATCGGCACTAGAAGGGAATGATCGGCTTCACGCTCTTCTCGCTTTACCCCCGTGGTTAGGACGAAGAAGATGGCGATGATTGCCCTGACGAAGGAGGCAGTAAGGTCTTCTGAAGCACCGGTTAATATCTACCAGACTTGCGCGTTGCAACGCAAAACTGAGACATATTGACGACAAAGACATCGTTTTCTAACCGGGAACAGAACCCACGTTGGAATCAGTTTTTTTAAATTGCCTGCGTCCATGTCTGAAGAGTGTCGCCAGTAAAGTTTCGTAGGTGGCGCTGCCGCATACCCGGTGGCAGTCCGGAACACGCCCTTCTAGACTATGCACGTGATGCGGGCCCACGTCAACATTCCGCTTCCTACCAGGGAAGCCGTCAGTCCGTCCAGTGATCGCGTCCCGTAGAATACCGCACGCCTTCAGCCCCGATCTGCTTTCAAGAAGATCGCAGGTCTGCGAGGCTCAGTGACACGAACAGCGAATGGAGGCTGTGCAAGGATTCGGTTGTGGCCTAATTTGGAGCGACTGAGGAAAGCCACGGGAACCAATGGACGACGTCGTCACAGCTGCTGCTGCTCTTTGAACGACTTTTGGTTTAATTTTCACACGCGAAAAAAATTAGTCTGACGTCACCTGCGTTACTGTCGCTAATTATTTTTCCATTCTTGTTGATCAGCGTCGAAAACTATCGAGGTCCTCCAAAGAGTTTCATCAGCAACATTTCTCATCACAGAATGCAATCCGTTCAAGTCGGGGTCTGATTTGACCCGCCTCTGAGTCATCCGAGGGTCGCGGTCCGCACTGTGCCCACGGCCGTCTCGATGTTTCCCTCACCCCGGCACGAAGCGACAGTCCGTCGGACGCGACGCTCTCGAGCTGTCGCCGCCTTCCGACATCAGCAGAAACCAACCAGTTACGACGCGCTCTTGTGGGCACCTTTCACAGGAGAGATTTTTTTGACTAGGTGGGTTACTGTCAGCTTTTCAACGAGGACTCTGCTCTATCGAGTTAGTTGCTTCGTCTGGCCTCAAGCGAAACCGTTTCGTGAACAAAGCCCCGACAGAAAGACGAAATCAAGCTTCATACTTCGCCGGTGCAACCCTTCTTCAGACTTACGGCTTATCCACGAAGGCAAAAGGCGAACAACGATTAGACCAATAAAAGTAAGCGGTTTTATAATAATTCCTAATGACCTCTACGAAGTACCTTCATAGTAATTAAATGGAGCTGAAGAACGCAAGTTTTTTCTCACATAAATGGAACAAGGTACTTACTTCATCCCGCTCAGTTATTAATTATGACGTTTCATGTTCACTAACTCCTAACACGCGTTACCCACGTAAAGACATAAAAGTCAGTGACCATGAATGAATGGCCGGTTGGTTCCTTTCGATTAATTAATATTAAGTTGTATTTTGCTTCAAGGCTAATATCGATAGTAAAACATGCCATGCTGTTATTTTTAAACTGTTTTAAAATTTAAAGTGCATGGGAATAACAAATGAAGACGAGGCTCGTGATGGAATTACGAGGATAATGAACATGGAACACGCTTTATGCGTGCCAAAGCCAATATCACACGCGCGCAGAAGCAAGTTCTCCATTTTACAGTTACGAAACATCATCCCGAATGGCAACGGAATAACACGATCTAAGGTTCTCAAGGCGGTTAAGATGTTCATTTCGGTTTGTGGGTTGTAACGAGCAAGTCAGAAGCAGCAGGTTCCTCCGAAACCCAGAAGACAAACATCGAAGTGCTCAGGGCACTAATGCTGCCTAGAGACCGGCATGGGGAGGGGAGGGCAGAAATTGCTTTGTGGCTGCACGAGTCTAAGAAAGGTGGTCCTACCAGAGAGGTTACAATGAAGCCAAGTTATGAGTTAAGTAAGTACGCTTATAAATTCAATGTCTACTAATTTCGCCAAGCGTAATTTAGATTTCAATTAATAATTAACGACTGGATTATTAGTAGCAATACACTTTCGTATAATTGCCTCGTTGCTTTGAACCGCGAGTTCATAAACTGAATAGTTTTTAATTTAAATTACTTTCAATTCCAAATGACTGCTAAAAATCATAATTGCATTCTAGTGAGGTACGGCCAGAGAACTAATTACGTCTGTAGAGCACACTAATTTAATTAGCGCGCTGAAGTTCGAGCAGTAATGAGCACTTGTGCATCAGAGCAAGAAACAGGCGAACACTCACGCCACCCTATCAAGACGCGAGCCCTTTTCCTCCCTTCTTACTGTGACGTGATCCTTCATCCTTTGGCAGGCT